AGGAGGACCCCTGATTCGAATGGAGAAGATAGGGTGATCAACTGGTTAGCTGAGGTGTTTGTACAATAACGCGAGAAGCCTGGGCAACAAACAGGAAGAATTAGAGGCCCTGGCCCAGTCCAAGAAATATGATTTAATTGGGATAACAGAGACTTGGTGGGATGACTCGCATGACTGGAGTGCTGTCATGGAAGGGTATAGACTGTTCAGGAAGAACAGGCAGAGGAGAAAAGGAGGAGGAGTTGCACTATACATAAGAGAGTATTATGATTGCTCTGAACTCCAGTATATAGAGGGAGAAAAATCCATTGAGAGTCTATGAGCTAAGTTTAGAGGTGCAAAGAACAGCAGTGATGTTGTGGTTGGTGTCTAAGATGAGGCTTTCTTCAGACAACTGAGAGAAGCTTCCAGATTGCAGGCCGAGGCTTTTGTGGGGGACTTTAATCACCCTGACATCTGTTGGGAGACCAATACAGCAGTAAACAGGCAATCCAGGAAGTTTTTGGAGAATGTTGGGAATAACTTCTTGGTACAAGTGCTGAAGGATCCGACCACGGGCTGTGCGCAGTTTGACCTTCTGCTCACAAACAGGGAGGAACTAACGGGGGAAGTAGGGGTGGTTGACAACATGGGAAGCAGTGACCATGAGATGGTAGACTTCAGGATCCTGACCAAAGGAAGAAAAGAGAGTAGTAAAATACACACCTTGGACTTTAGAAAAATAGATTTTGACTCCGTCAGGCACCTGAGAATCCCCTGGGATGCTAACATGAAGGGAAAAGGAGTTCAGTACAGCTGGCAGTATTTTAAAGAAGACTTATTGAAGGCACCGAAAGAAACCATCCTGATGCGTAGCAAGAGTGGCAAACATGGTAGGAGACCGGATTGGCTTACAGGGGAAATCCTTGGTGAAGTTAAGCACAAAAAGGAAGTTTACAAAAAGTGGATACTTGGACAAATGACCAGGGAGGGGTTTAAATGTATAGCTCGAGAATGCCGGGGGGTTATCAGGAAGGCGAAAGCGCAAATGGAATTGCGACTGGCTAAGGATGTGAAGGATAACAAGAAAGGTTTCTACAGGCATGTTAACAAGAAGAAAGTGACCAGAGAGGGCCCCTACTGGATGAAGGAGGTAACCTAGTGACAGATGATGTGGGGAAAGCTGAAGTACTCAATGCTTTCTTTGCCTCTGTCTTCACGGACAAGGTCAGCTCCCAGACTAATGTGCTAAGTGATGCAAGATGAAATGAAGATGGACAGCCCTTGGTGGGTAAAGAACAGGTTAGGAACTATTTAGAAAAGCTAAACATCCACAAATCCATGGGTCTGGACTTAATGTATCAGAGGGTACTGAGGGAGTTGGCAAATATCATTGAGAAGCCTTTGGCCATTATCTTTGAAAAGTCGTGGAGATCAGGAGAGATCCCGGATTATTGGAAAAAGGCAAATGTAGTGCCCATCTTCAAAAAAGGGAAGAAGGATGATCCAGGGAACTATAGGCTGGTCAGTCTTACCTCGGTTCCTGGAAAAATCATGGAAGGGATCTTTAAAGAATCCATTTTGAAGCACTTGGAAGAGAGGAAAGTGATCAGGAATAGTCAGCATGGATTCACAAAGGGCAAGTCGTGCCTGACCAATCTGATTAGCTTCTATGATGAGGTAACTGGCTCTGTGGACATGGTAAAGTCAGTGGATGAGATATACCTTGGCTTTAGCAAAGCTTTTGATACGGTCTCCCACAATATTCTTGCCAGCAAGTTAAGGAAATGTGGATTGGATAAATGGATGGTAAGATGGCTAGAAAGCTGGCTAGAAGGCCAAGCCCAGCAGAAGCGATCAACTGCTCGGTGTCAGGAAGGTGGTCGGTTTAATATCTTTATTATTGACCTGGATGAAGAGGTCCTAGAACCGAACCTTGGGGCACTCTGCACAAAAGCGCGTCTATTCTGGGCACGGATGCTTTTGCATAAAAGCACTTTTTGCGCAAAAGCATCCATGCCAATCTAGACGCTCTTTTGCGGAAATACTTTTAACGGAAAAACTTTTCCGTTAAAAGTATTTCCACAAAATCATGCCAGTCTAGATGCAGCCAGATTGTATTAGATATTGCTGTTTGTTTTGTCAACACAACTGGCTTCCACAATGCCTGCTCTGATTGCTCTGCTCAGTGTTTTGATCTCTGCTGCCCTGCAGGCATTCACCTTTGTAGAGCTGAAGAATGAAATCGCCCTTTTAATTAATGATATCTAACAATGTGACATTATGTAACCTCATGAATTGCGGCCCAATTTTTATGAAAGGGATTTAGATTAACTTGTTAGTTACCTAACAAGTTAATTATCTATCAGAGATGATGTAGATAGTGTTTGGTGTTTGGTCCTGCTGTGAGGGCAGGAGACTGGACTTGATAACCTCTCAACATCACTTCCAGTTCTAGTGTTCTGTGATTCTATGATTATTTACCTGTTATGAATTACCTTTTTACATATACTGTAAGTGAAACCCCATTTCAAATTCTGTATTGCCTTAACTCTTAAAAACAAGTGGTCCTATAGCACTTTAGAGACTAACATAAATATAGATAGTATCATGAGCTTTTGTAGGCACTGCCCACTTCTTCAGATGATGAGTGGAGCAAAAGGCACACCACTCATCATCTGAAGAAGTGGATTGTGCCCATGAAAGCTCATGATACTATATATTTTGTTAGTCTCTAAGGACATGTTTACACTAGGAAATTATTTTGAAATAACTTTATTTCAAAATAATAACTCCCGAAATAGCTGTTTCAAAATAGCATGTCCACATTACAAGGAAGCATCAAAATAGTGCAGAATTATTTCAAAATAGCATATCCACACTAATTGGAGCCTGCATCACATTTAAAGCCTCCAGAAGTGCTCCAGGGAGGGCACCAGGAGAGCGGACACTTACAATAGCTGCTTGCTGAGGTGAGCTGAGACACATGCTTAAAAGGGCTCCTCTCTATGGCCGCATCTCACCTGCCACTTCTCCATTTCCTCCCCCGTCATGGGACACCAAACTCACGCCATGTGCCCTTGAGAATGCCACAGCACTGACATAGATCCAGCTGCTCATAGAAGCAGCAGGTGTGTGGTGTCACCTCAGAGCAGGAATTTCACTCCCTGGACTTTGTGTACGCCTGCCGGACTTCTTTAATTTTCATCTGGACCTGATCCAAGGTCCTGGTGTGCCCTTTCTCCACCAGCCACAGATGTTGGCATTCCATCTCTTGTTGGTCTCCTCTCACCAGTCCTCTGTGAGATCTAGGATCTCTGCACCAGTACAGGCCAGTGCCCTCTTTTGCCCCTGACCAGGGGCATCAGAGGGTGCTGCAGGCATGCAGGTAGCCGAGGGTGGCACAGAGGGAGCTCTGGGTTCACTCATGGCTCCAATGCAGGTTGCTGTGTGGCACGTGGCTAGCAGGGCTCTCCTGATGCCACAAGCCCTTTCCCTTCTGCCTGTAGCTTTAAACTCTTCAGGAGAAGGAGAGTATAGGAGTTGTCAGGTGTGTGGCCAGAGCGGCCATAAGTGCAGCTGTGAGAAGCCTTTGGAAGCCAATTATTTTGAAATAGCAGCAGGTGAGCATCCACACTCAAGCTAGTTCAAAATAACAATTTCAAAATAAGTGACAAGTAGGAGTTATTGTTTCAAAATAACAAATCAGCATGTTATTTAAAACTAACAGGCTTGGTAGTGCGGACACTCT